GATTGCAGTGAAAAGCTGCATGTCAAAAGTAAAAATCCTCTTACTAACTTGGATCATCAGTTCACCAAGAAACAATGTTAAATAAAACGACCAACAGCTCCCAAATTGATCACAAGTCAGGAGTCAGGACAGCTACAACAAGTTGATTACTATTATGAATTGGGAAATTATTCATGTGTAAGGATGCTCTCTGTTTTTTTGCTCCATTTCTCTTTCTGTTGTCGATTGGTGGTGAGGGTTTATCTCATAATTTATGTAACAAATAATTAGGCTGCAAAACTCATGCGATGTGCGAGTCATGCTTCCTTACCTACTTGAAGGAAGTTGTCCCAAATTACCTACTTTTTCTCTGAATTAATACAAATAAAGTGAAGAATAGAATAAAGTGGAAGTAAAAGATCCATATAAGGAAACCAACTAGTTGTGAATAAAGGTTAGTTGCTGTTACAATTACTATTAGGACATGTGTCTCTTTGGAAAGTTTATTCTGGTTAGAGACTTGTATAGTTATGTAGGGGTAAGCATGGAATTTAGAGAACCTTTACTTTATAAAGAATCTCATATTTGCTCACAAAAATATATTGTTTCGTACTGGAATGAATTGAACCTAAGGATAAGGAAATGAATATAGAGGATTCATACAAACGAACTCAACTAATTTAGAATTGAAGCATAGTTGACAGAGATATCTCACCTCATCAATAATTGGGTTATAAACAACACCAACTGTTGGAATCTTTCCAATTGTGAGACCGATCGATACACAGACAAACGGAAACCTAAAATTAATCAAGTTTCACAAATCAGCTTGAGCGGCTTCATGAATCATAAAACAAGTTCAATCTAAGTATGGAGAAATTTATGATTACCCATGCACAAAATTAGTCGTTCCGTCGAGTGGATCAACTATCCAAGTTGGTTCATCAGTCAGCTCAAAATTGCCACAAGCAGCAGTTGTTTCTTCGCCAATGAACTAAAGTGAAGAGATATTGCAGCAAAGAGCCGGAAATAGATGAGTAAAATCGTTTCACAATACAGCTAATAAAGTGATGGAACTAAGAATACAAGATGAAAGCTAACCTTATGGCTTGGGAACTGTTGCTTGAGATGATTAAAAATGAGATCTTCACATGCCTTATCAGTCTCGGTGACTAAATCCACCTGCATTGGATGAATTACAAAAATTTAAGCGTACAAAAGACCCATAGAATCAAACAAGAAACTGAAAAGACCAAGATTTACATGTTTTTTCTTCCCAAAAGCAAAAAGATTATTTACTATATGCAATAAAAATTCATTCTTAACTAAGTCCTATGCGCACGTCTCACACTACATGTATTTCAAACACTCTAAAACATTGTTTACCTACTACAGTCCTCCATTGTGCTTCCTATGCAATATAAGCCAAAACTAAGAAGAACAATAAACCTTCTTTCACCCTTCTCCTTTTCTCGAACAACTCGAACTGTGCCACCAAATTAGTTCAAAAGGCATTTCCTTCAGTTTAAGTATAAATTTTTTGACTATTATAAGAAGCATAAGTAGTTTCCTAGTGGATAATGGACCATATATGCTCAAACTCAAGCCACAAACATGGTTCATTCTCTTAGTAGTATCTCAATATCCAAAATTAACCTTCATAGAAGCAAGAAACGGACTAGCACATTAAGCAATTATAGACCTTTAGTCCAAAAATGAAAGTAAACTACTTATGAGGTCTCTTGTTCGAGCCCGGGAATGGAGTCCTCTTTAATAGGAGGCTAAAACCCTCCATAATGCGCTTAATGGGCTTTCTACAGCATGAATCTAAATTAGTCGGGACATGATTTTCAGACACCAAATGATTAAACAAAAAAAGAGAAGCTCCTCAATCCAAAAAGACAACAAATTTACAAAAAAAACACTAACAAAAGAAGGGCAGCCCGGTGCACAAAGCTCCCGCTATGCTCGGGGTCCAGGGAAGGGCCGGACAACAAGGGTCTATTATATGCAGCCTTACCCTACATTTCTGCAAGAGGCTGTTTCCACGGCTTGAACTCGTGACCTCCAGGTCACATGGAGGAAACTTTAACCGTTACGCCAACGCGCCCTTCAAGAAAACCACTAACAAGAAAAAGCCAAAACAGAAATGCTTAGCTAAAAACAACTAAATAAAGCACTAACCACTCCTTTGTGCTCCACATTCTTAGTCTCATGGAATCCTTGGCGAATTACCTTCAAAACCCAGAAATGCAAAAAAACAAAGAAACCAAGACCAAATTAAAGCCAAAAATTGAATCTTTATAATGTAGCTAAAATTGATCAGACAAGAAACCAATAAAATAACAACTGCAAAAAAAAAGGAAAAAAAATCAATTGGGTCGAATTTAAAACAAAGAAATCAAGACCAAATTAAAGCTAAAAATCGAATCTTTATAATGTAACTAAATTGATCAAACAAAAAACCAATAAAGTAACAGCAAAAAAAAGAAGAAGAAGCAATTGGGTCAAATTAGATTTACATCTCCAGCTTTCTTAGCTGCTTCAACTGCAACATCAAGAAACTGTTCAAGTGAACCTGAAATTCAAAACAACGGCATTTCAGAAATAATTCGCATACAAATACTTATACAAGTATATGGGTAAAATTTTTAGAATTAGAGATGAAAGGGTCTATACCATCTTGAGCCATCTTTGAAATATTTGATTAATTGAGTGATGGGAAGAGAAGTGAGAATATGATGTGAATATATATAGTAGATTATAGATTTTTCACGTAGGCACATGAAAGAACATTATAGACAATTTTGTTGGACCTGAAATACCCCTATATTTACTCATATTCACATGCATAATTCAAATATAACAACCAACGGTGGCGGAACAAGATTTTCATTAAGGGGTTTCAAAATATATAAAAGTAAATATGTGAGAAAATTAAGGGGAGTCAATATATAATATATATATACATATAAAAAAACTTTACCTACCTACATAGTGTATTTTTCCCGTGACACCCCTTCTTATAAGGTGGCTCTGCCACTAACAACTACCCAATAAGTACAAGTGGGGTCTGGGGAGGGTAGAATGTGCACAGACATTACCCCCACCCGGAGAGTAGAAAGGCTATTTCCGAAAGACCCTCAGCTCAAGAAAACGAAAAGAGACAAGAGAGACAATAGGTTTTAGCAAATGAATCGCTGTGAAAAAATTGTATTGGCGCTAAACTTATCTATTTTAGTGCTGGATTTGGATCTATTTACAGATAGGGATACAGTCAGAACTTCTATAACAACATCGGTATATAACAATCATTCACTATAAAAATTAAGTTTTTATGGAACCAACGATACTTCCACCTCATACGGCTCCGTCCCGAGCTTCTGTCGTCCGCTTTAACATTAAATCACTATTTATGCATATATTTTCAGCCTCGACTGACGAATCTCTTTGCTTCTCAGATGATATCGATCAATGGTGCTTGCGTTGTGAGAGATGCCCGCCCATAGGGACCGGCCTGCTTCCGGCCCAAAAGAACCGGTCACTAGCTAGCTCCACTAGTGGGGCCCTATCCGGAGACATACTGAAAACCATACCTTTCAAACCAAAAGTGTAATGCCCGTCTTCCAAATAAAAAAAAGGGCTTGTTGGGACTTTCATGCTATGTTATAATATATGTTATCTATAACAACGCTTCGTTATAACAGCTGAAAAAATCCGAAATAAACAAAGTTGTTATAAAGAGTTTGACTGTATATACATTTGAGATATGAATAATATTTTTTAAGTAGGTGGGCAAATATGACCTTTAACCGTTTTACAAATTAGGAGAAATTTAACATGGAGGCCCTTTAGGAAGAATATGAGATAGTAGAGGAATATTTTTATGGGAAAATGATGATACTACTAAAAAATAGGAATTAATACCAAAAGCAAGAATCCTAGAAAGACAAATTAAGGGTAGTTTGGTAAATAATCGACAGTGATTCATGGAATATGCCTATGTACGTGAGTATATGCTGTATTCGTTATTTCCTCGTGTCCATATTCTTCCACTTTTGTCCCAATTCCTTTATATATCAAATTAAAAGTGCAAATTTAACAAAACAATATATTCCAGAAATTTTTCATTTAAAATAATGACGAAAGGTAAAGTATTTACTGTTACTACGATGAATAAAATATTTATACAATTATATTAAGTAAAAATCAATTATAAATAACTATCTTTGAAAAGAGGGGTTGCTCTAATGGTAAGCAACCTCCACTTCCAACCGAGAGGTTGTGAGTTCGAGTTTCCCCAAGAGTCGAGGGAAGGATGTGGGATTATACTGAGTTATTGTTGTTGTTGTTTGTATCTTTGAAAAAAATTGGTATGAATATGATATTAGTTTTATTTGAGTGCACGTGTCGTGTGTACGCAACATTAAAAATTACGAGTGGTCTAGAATAGCGAAAGAGATATATTATGAAAATAACACAACAAAAGAGAAAAAGGGAGAAAGTGAAGAGATTATTGGAGTAGTATATCTTTTCTTCTTTTATGTCCTTTCCTTTATATTTTCTTTTGGCATATAAATCAAATATTGAAACAAGTTTTCTAGCTCATTTTTGAATTTACATGCAAATAATGACGGATTCGCATAAATGGTAAAGTTGATGTCATGTGACTAGGAGGTCACGGTTTCGAGCCATGAAAACGGCCTCTTGCAGAAATGCAAGGCAAGACTGCATACAATAGACCTTTATAGTTTGGCCCTTCCCCATACCCAGCACATAACGGGAGCTTAGTGCACTGGATTGCCCTTTTATCTTCTTGAGCCGAGGGTCTTTCAGAAACAACCTCCCTACCCCTCGGGTAGGTGTAAGGTATGCGTACACACTACCCTCCCCAAACTCTACTAGTAAAATTTTACTGGATCGTCGTTGTTGTGACTATAAGTTGAGAGCTCTTTAAAACTACTCAAACCTAAGATAACACTATTCAAATGATCCATCTAAAAAGATTCAATAGACAGAAATGAATGAGAAGAAATGGCGCTGATAAAAGCAGGTGAAGATTCAATGAAATTTGTGTTCTTGAAAACTAAGAACTAATAGTCCAATAAATACTTTCTCAGTAGAGAAACACCATTTTTTGGTATTAAAGATACAACACAAACTCAACAACTCAGAAAAATAACTAGTGCCGAGTTCAACAGCATTCCTTGGATCCAAGGGCTGCCATTTATTTGATTTCCTTGGGTGCAAGGGCTGCGATTTCTTTGACAACTTGCGCTTTGTCAGCCTCAAACTGCTCGTCCTCTGCAGACAAGAAAAAATGATTAACGACAATGGTGAAACATGCATTCACAAGACACAGTGTGTTCCTTTTGGTTGTGTTTTATACCTTTGTCAGTCTTAAAATCGGCAAAGAGACGAAGTAGTTTGCTTCTGTTAGCAATAAGGATGCTAACAATATCAGGAGGCTTATTGTGATTTGCGGCAAATAGCTGAAAAGCATTAAAAAGTCAGAGACAAAGCATTTGACAATGGAGTTAACAAGCGGATATATATGAGTGTTAATACCAGTAGAGTACCTTGAAGACATGAAACGCTTCTATTTGGATACTTTTGCTTGACTCCTGCAAAAGAAGAATTCAGCAATCAACATCGGGTGATACCGATACCATTTAAGAACATTTGTTAAAGACTCGCTGATGTTAAGATTCTCATGTCAGCTGAAGTGACGAGAAAAGAGCATACTTTTCCATATTCGTAAAACCTACATACTTTATCCTGCAGCATATCTTTGTTCATATGCACAGAAAATGTCTATATCATGGTTTGCAAGGACAGCTAGCAAGTGACACTCCAGACCACAGGTTGTTCATTTAAACAATTATCCGTCTACTACTGGATAGTCACAGATAAAATTTAGGAGTGGCAGTTTACAACAACGACGACAAGAACAAACCCGGTATAATTCCACATGTGGGGTCAGGGGAGGTTAGTGTTTACTCATACCTTACCCCTACCTTGTGGAGATAGAAAGGCTGTCTCCGATAGACCCTCGGCTAGGACTGGCAGTTTGAACCCGTAATTTTCTGACCCTAACCAGGTATCTCAAGAAGTTAAGATACAGTTTTCCATAGTCTATGATGGGCGGCTTTAAAGTTGGGATAATGAAGTTTATTTTCCACTTCTTTTTCAATGATCTAATACATCTCAAAAAAGTCGAAGGCGTAACAGTTTTTGGCAGGTAGATTGTAATCCAAACTCAACCCATAGACACCCAAAAGTCAAGACTCATAATCTGTTAATATACATGTGGAGGTTTGGCTTTGACCATCTCTTGTAGTAACCCGTGTCAACATGTCTAAATTTAACCCAATACTGCATTTTCCACCCATTTATGCATGTCTAACCCTAAACTAGTAACCACAGAAAGGGTATATTGAGAAGCATAGGAAAGTCCAGAGAATAGAAAACAAATGGAAGTAACTGCACCTACAGAACTCTGGCATTGAAAGAGACACGAGGAAAGAAAAAACAAATAAAAGTGACAGCGAGTAAGAGGGAAGGTGATCGATACCCTGAGTAGATTCATAAGAATCCTCAAGTTGTCTCTTGAGCTAACATAACGTGTCATTACAGCAGAATTTGAGCGGTCCAACAGCATATCTGCCAAGAGCTGCAACAGTAAAGCAGACATTATAAGGATTTAGAAAGAAGAAAAGCGTGGGCTTCTTTAAAGCTAAACGTCACAAGTATTCTGAACATGAATTTGAAAGACTACTGCCAAAATACGTAACGTGCTTAAATATCTACTTATCTTGAAGAAGTAAAAAGGACATTATAAGAGTTATAAAGACAAAATTTACAAAGGAGCAGTGTGCTTGAATATGATGTGGCACAAAGAAGCAATTATTCATTTTATTTCTCAGTAGTAACCAAGATAAGTAAAAATGCTATTTGAACTGCCGGAAACTGTCTTCGAAATCACAGGTTCTGCTCCCAATCATGAAAACAATCTACAGAACGATTCCACTGGAATGTGAAAACTCCTAACTTCCTCCTTATTCTTCCTTTTTTGCATTTTTTATTTTTTTGGAACCAAAAGTTTTATTCCTCTAATAGCATAGTGAAAGTGCTAAATATGTACAGTAACAAAAAGTCATAACCGTACTTCACAAAATTCGCACTTGAAAGGATATAGGAAACCATATTATTTTATATTTTCCTTATTACACCAAAAAGCCAAAAAAGGACGAGCATTTATTTTTAAACCTATGTAGTGGTTCAGCTTTTCCTTCAAAGAATCTCCGCTTCCTTTCATTAAATATAAACCAAAATATACATGACGGAATGATATTCCATATGCTTCTACTGTCTTTTTCACCCTCCCGCCTGACCAACATGAGAGACCGTTCTTTACAACATTGGCATAACCCAGTTTCATCCACAAAGATATAGAAATAAACTTCACAATGTTTCCACCACACCATGCAGCGGCAAATAAGTAATATTCATCATGCCTCCCAACACAATTAACAAAAATATAAAAACCCCTTCTTTGCAAAATGTATATGTCAAGCGAGCTTCATGAGCAACCAGCCATCGTTAAAGGGGCTTTGCTCATCCATATAATCTTCCAGAGCCCTTAAGCCCTTAGTTTACTGCAATCGACGATGATACCACCTTATAGACAGACTTAACAGTAAAAATTCCAGCCCTTCAGTGTTTCATATCTGGTGTGCCTTGTATCTATTAATACCTTCCTAGTATTTCCTTCTTAATATGAAAAAGGGGATTCCCTCTCAGTACTCAACTAAAATGCACATTAGATATGTATTTTCTACAGAGTTCGTAACAAAACTGTAAACGAACATCCCCGAGAGCAGAAAAGGTAAGAAACGAAAAGAAAGGAAAAGCTCTTCCACAAAATGAAGATAACATTCAAGTCGCCAAAACATCTTCTTGTGTAAGATCTGGAGGATTTAAGGAAAGAAATGCATTTTTTACCTCAATGATTCATAATGTAACATACCAAACTTACACTGAGATTCTTTGCAAAATGTGAGAGATTCCAAAGAAACAAAACTCATGCCCAGAACTATATACTATTCGACAGAATAAATCCCTTACCTTGACAGCTTGTCTTCTAGTGATGTAGTTACTAGACTCAAGCAGCTTTGAGTTATACTCTGTGAAAAACTGAAACCAAAACCAGAAGGTGTATAAGTTAAAAGAAAAAATAATTTCCCAGAACGACTAACAAGTCATTCATAAGCAACCCAAAAAGCACACAAGAAACAGCTATTACAAATGAAAAATAAATATTCCCTGCAACTTCTGAACATATCTGTGTATCACTTCACTAACTCCCACTAATGCAAACAAAACAACAGTGGTTCCTTTTTTTTTTGGATGGGNTTAGATAATTACAATTGATCATTTCTGTTTTCACCCCTTCCCTCAACTTCAAAAGCGTGGATGCAATAGACAAATGGAGCAACAAGAATAAGGTCTACAATTTAGGATTATAATACTATTGCCAACGGGATAAATCATGTAATCATAACAAAGACCTTAACAGTGTAAGTGGAACTAGTACTGAAGAAGTAGCTTGCAAGCATTATGTATATCTGTGAAAATAAAGCCACAAGCAGCATAATTCTTCGAAAGAAAAAAATATATGGTTCAAACAATATGCCTGCACAGGTTCAATAGAAACACTTCTCCAAATAAATAAGTTTCATTACCCAGTCATAATTCTTCGAAAGAAATTCAGCTACTGTTGATTTGTGCCTTGTCAAGAGTTCCTGACCAAGAAATACAAGCCAATCAGGACAATGCCGCAATAGTCATGATAACTTAGTCCCTATGGAACAGAAAAAGCTATAACTTTCCAAAGCCGTTTTTTCCCAATGCAGTTTCTTAAATATTTTCTAATTTTAAGTAGCAAAATGGCTTCACTTTCTGCTTTTTCTCCCAACTTAATAAGGTGTGATAGGGCAAAGGAGAAGCAGACAGACGGTGTATTTGCTTTATAGTCAATGTAAATTGATTAAGTAATGCTCAATGGTCACCATTATAATGACAATGATAGTTATGCATGAAAACAGGATTATCTATACGATGTTCATTCCAGATTCTTGATCAAGAGCACTCAACCTTAAAAGTGGCAGCAGCATCAGCAGCAATGTCAAAATTTGGCAGCTGAATATAATCGAAAAACTTCTTCATATGCTCAGACTCCAAGACATATCTAAAAACAAAAGAATAAATGTAAATTCTCAGCAAAAAAGAGGCATACAATAACACAGAGCTACTTTGATGTTTCTATTCAAGCCTTAATCAGGGACTAGAAAGAGATTACTGAAAGATACTAATTACTTCAACGGCAGGTCACATAAATAAGTCTCCTAACGCCAACAAAACTTAAAAGGAGCAAAGAAATAATTCTAGACAATCTTCTAAAAGACGGAAAAAAAACATTAAATAGGTTCTTGTGGCTTACTTTGCAACACTCTGGTGGCGAATGCACTCCCGCAGCATTGCACCATAATGTAAAGCCATATCTGTATTCTCATAACTAATGACAAGGCAAAAGGATCAATCAGAAGTCAGCGAAAACACAGCAACGAGATTAGAAACAGGAATCCTCATAAACATCTTTTGCCCCAACAAAATAACTTCCTAGAAATTCTCCGACATCAGGTGCTTGCAAAAAGGCAGCGGAAAAGTACTACTCTATCCCATTTTATGTGATAAAATTTGACTAGCCACGCAGATGACTTTATAAACATCCAGAAAATACATTTGAACTAATAAATAAAACACACACAAAATAAGGAACGAAAATAAAGGAATACAAAAACCTTTTTATAAATCAATATAAGGAAAACAAGAACTTCTAGGCTAAAAGTCCATGGATAAAAAATGATTTCTTTTATCCAAATAATCTGACCTAGCTTTTGCATGGATACAGATTAGAAACCAGCGTCAGAAAAGTAGAGGCAAAAACAACTTAAAGAATATGGAAAACTAATAGACAAGAAGCATTTGACAATGTAGGACAAAGCCACCACATTTTGAACATGTAGTCGACTGTAGCTTACCCTAATATTAATATGTCCATCAAATCAATGTTTGCTTCCAAGTAATCACAAGCAATTAGCCGGGACTGAACCTGCTGCCTCTGCAGATTTGCTACTACTTGAGTAGCATCTTTGCGGGTCTGTGAATTAGAAACATCATTTTGTTATAGAAAAATAAGGAGCAGACAAAAACAAGATTTCAAAAGAGTAACAGGCTTAACAGAAGTGAAAACCCAATTCCAATTGATCAAATAACATGTAATAGAACCACCTTAAATATTAGAGAAATTAGAGAACAACCAGATAACACACTCTCGCAATGCAAAAAGAAAACCATACATAAGACCCAGCTGACATGACAAGAGTGAGACTATCCGACCATAAGCAACTCTGTGAACTCTTAGAAGACGTCAAATTACCTCTAAATTCAAATTGGGAAGACAAGTAATTATCAGCCGGAGTGTGTTCTCTCTGAAGAATTCTTGAGTCAACTGAGCACAGGCCTCAGCGAGAGGCTCGGATTCGCCATTCCCGTAAAGAATAATCTTTAATTCCCGGATTGACTTGCTTAACTCCATCATCTGCGGATATGCAGTT